AGGTAAGAGAAAAGTTCGAAGGGTATTTTTATTGTTAGCTTAAAGAGAATCCGATGACAGTTCAAGTTCTAAGCAGAAATTGAAGGTTATTATGGTAAAACAAAAAAGTAGAAGGGTCTGTGCACGAACGGAAGCTTGACGTAGGACCGCTAGTGGACGGAACAAATGTGAATATTTAGTTCTTTAAATTGATCAATCATCAATTATCTTAACTCTTTCCGTTTTTTATTTGTAAGCGTATCAAATTTGTAGTATTTATTTCAAAGAGAAAGTTGATGAAGAGAATCCAGGGGACTGACAACTTGAGTATTTTCGTTTCATCTACCCTAATGAGCCTGAATTTCTAAAGAGGCGACAACTTATCCATTTGACAGGTCTTCTGCTCGATTGGAATGACTTTTCCTATGACTTTGACAGACAATCGATTGTTCCAATTTTGACGTGTCGTATCTTTATAAATTCAACCTCTTTAATCTACCCGACTTTAAAAGGTGTATTTTGATTTTTTTTTTGTTTTTTATTAATTTTTAAGTTTTGTGCATTTTGGTATTAAAGTGTATTCAATTCACCCCTCACAGGATTTCCTTCCGAATTATATGAATGGGGCGGGGCGGAAAGTATCGTTTGCGCAGAATATGTAAAAAAGGAGGGACTTCGAGAGATTGAACTCGTGAGAGCTTATTTTCTCACCAATTTGATTTTATTGGCATTCTGGGGACTGAATTCCCACTTCTCTCAAATTCAATTGGATTTTTAACACTTCTTACCAGCGTGTTCTGGAAAATGGTCGGACGATGATTAATCTCACCAATACATTCGGGCCTACAATTCCACACCTTCTATAGAGACCAGGTTGAGCCTTGATAGCTAGCTGCTTGCGGGAACTGATGACCTTGACAAATGTCCAAATAATACTCTTAACAAATTTAGGGTGGTCCTGAAAAGGACCGTTTTGTAGTGATGGTTGAGTAATTCTGAGCTGGGTGTTCAACACGGATGAGGCTGCCGAGCTGTATGTCGTTTGGATCGAGGCTGACACGCTTGGCATAGATGACCGACCCGCAGCGACTCACGAAGAGCTACTGATTCCGATCCATAGCATAGCGGTGCCGCTCCTTTGATGGTTGCTTATGTGGGCTCTGCAGCTCGCTGCTTGCAGGCAGCCTTTCGTTCTTACTGGAGAACAATTTTCAACGCCACACGCCGAAAGTACTGCTACTGCTGCTACTGCTGCTACTAATTTTGACGACCGAACACCACCACACAGTGGTGTGGTCGTCGGGAGCATGTAGTTTTGAGTATGACGATGAGTGTGCAAAATATTAGGTAATTCCATCCTCCCTATTCGCACGCGCCCGAGGATCGGAGGCGAATGCCACTTCGACTTGTTTCGTCTACTTACTACTCTCTGACGACTGTGCTGGGGAAGCAGCATATGCATGTAGGTAATTGGTGGATTTGTTAGTTAATTCGACGCTTTTGGACAATACTGGACATTTACCAGTTTTTCAATAATTTCTTGTTGAAATTCAACATTCGGAAGCATTGTTATCGATGCGTAGCCATATTTCTGATCGATTGGTGATAAAATTATTGAAATTGGACCAGGGGCAGCTGAGTTATTAACGTTCAAAATCTTTCTTAATTTGTTACATGTTCCATTTTCGGTTTTGACAAAGTGTACCCCCATATAGAAATCAAAGACGTAGTCCTACGTCAAAAAATGCAACTTATAATTTAAGTGACCATATATTAAAGTTCATTAGTTTCCCAGTTCTCCCGTAGAATTCACGGGTTATTTCCGGTTATTTTCCGTTTTTCCTGGATCCCTGGCCACCCTGTGTAAATGAACCGTAGATAGTCGCTTCCCCTACCCCCTCTTGACTCTCCACGTCATTGGTGGTCGACCCCTTTTTCCATGGTCATCGTTGTTTGATAGTCATATTTTAAACCGCATTTTGTGTTTTTGCCAATCATTTCGGCCACACATTCGTAAATGTATAAAGAAATTCGTGCAGAGATTGTCGTTTCATAAAGATCCAAGTACCACGAACACGGACTGAAATTTGGCCACCACTGATCTACAAGGTATAAGCACAACCCCTGAAATCACTAAAACCTCAGCCTTCGCCCAAAACTTTTCTACAAATATTTAAAAAAAAGAAAGCTTTTTGCGCAATTTTTAAAATTATGTATCCTGTCTTTAAGTACCATCAATTTCAAAAAGTTTGGGATCTCAGGCTCAGGCTCTTTATTTGTTTATAGCTTCACTGATTTTTATTTTAAGCCTCAAATGCACAATAAGCTCTGGATTTTGTGGAAAAATTGATCTGACCAATTTGCTTTGTGGTTTGGAATTCCGATACTCAAGAGTCAAAGCCATCAATTTACATTGTCTTCTCATTCTCCAAAGGATGCGATGATCGAACTGAAAAACTGATTCATTGATTCGAGGAAACCAAAGTCACCCATGCCATATGCAACCTCTGCCACTATCCCAAATAATACTGCCTCCAATCAGTCTCGCTATTTTTTGGCCCAACCGAATCCGTCGCTCGATTCCTGAGACCAAATATGCGTAATAAAAAAACGGTCACCATTCAATAACTTTAAAGCCGTTTTTTCTCCTACAGCCAACGACACAAAACGACCGTTACTGAGAATCACTGTTGGTTGCGATCTGAGAGGTGTGAAAAGAATGACTCCTCAACAAAAGTGAAATACCTCATTTATTATGGACAGAGGATGCGGAGTATTTCAATACCCAACCCAGCCAGAGCACCGAAGGAATCTAATGGACAAAAGACGACATTTTTTAGGATTGGAAACTTGTTCTTTTCAGTCTCTGTTTCTTTCGAACAGGAGAATGACAGATTCAAATTTTGGTGTTCGAAAAAGTTTCATGTTGTTTTCTTTTCATGCCGTCAAGATGATCAATGATTGCTGTGCAAGTTGGAAGTTGAGCATGTGTAATTCCAGTTCGTTTTTTCAGAACGAACCAAAGGGAACATATTGGAAGGCATGCAAGGGGGAAATTTTAGTGAAGGCTTATAGAAAATAAACAAGCAGACAGTGTGGCGAATGAAGAATACTATTTCTTAATTTATAAAGGATTTAGTACCACGAAGACATGTGACCATTAACCATCAACCAAAAGTTACTGGAAATTTCCCCAACGTGCATTGAAACGCAAAAACCACCAAAGCTGTCCGTTTCGACCACATTACCCAAAAGCCACAAATCACTCGGACATGGGGCAATGACTCGGACGCGAGGCGTCCAGAACGTGAAAAGAAACCTCCAAAATCTTCCAAATCGACCTGTCAGAATCCCCGAGATGCGACCACAATAGCAACCTGTGGTGTTTGAAATCGTTTTCTTCTCACCTGTTTCTTCATCACTGCTGCAGCAGTCTTCTCCTTCTTCACACTTAACTGTTTGTGTGTGATAAACAAAAATAACCCAGTATTCAACCATCCCTCGCCCTGACTGGGAACTATAACTCATCATTACCAATCTTAAAATCGATTCAATTGAACAATTACGCTCATAATTTATCTTCGGTCTCGATTGTGCACCTGAAGATGGATGGCTGGTCAGAATCGTATATAATAAAAAAGCGACCCAAGAGAATTTATCACGTCGCTCACATTTTCGCTGGCGATGGCGTAATCACAGTTTCAAATGAAAATAAATTATTCTACATTGCTTGCGCTTCAAAAGAACCCAGACATTGAAAACGGCCCACAAGAAAATACCCACATATGGACAAACTGCGGTAGAATAAGAACGAGATGGAGATACGATTACGATCCACTCGAGGCAATTTGGAAACCAACACTGACGGGTTCGTCGCTTGCGTATTTTCCCCGAAACAGCAATTTTGTTCATCGTATGTGCTAAGATGATTTGACAGGAAATTAATGTGTCAGAGTGTGATGAGATCAAATTTGTTATTTGGCGTCAGACAAATTGCAATTTGACTGCAGGCAGAGTCTTCGGAAATAGGGAAGTACAACCATTTCAAATAACTATATTACTGTGCCCTATAGCAGAGCTCTTTTATTTCTTTGATTTGTTTTCCGTTGATCTTGTTTTCCATACTGAGTACCAATGCAACCGACGCCAGAGGACAGCTACCACACCTGGACCCTACCTATCGACCCATGAACTTATAGACCGGGAACCAACGGCTTTACTTCCCCCCGAAGGAAGGCGTGATCAGAGATGTTATGCCTCAGAAAATCCCGGCGGCACCGACTGGGATTGAACCCAGGCCTTTTGGGGTGAGAGGTAATCACGCTTACTACACCACCGGCGCCGCTATAGCAGAACTATTGGGTCGCCATAAATGCAGTTCATTCATCAAAGGAAATTATACTTCTATGGACTTGTGTATCTACAAGAAAATAAAGTAAAACCAACTGAATCAATAATCACAAGTCACGCGCGATATGTCAACCGATTATGTAATCACCTGAACCATATGTAAAGAGCTAATTTTCACATTACACAACATATACATGTAAACAACGCATCATTTCTTAACGGATTATTCAATATTATGAATGATGTAATATAAAATATACTACAATAATAATACTTTACACTGCAACTAAGCACAACAACAAAACAGTGATTGTAGCAAACCAAGAACGGTTACAACTGAATCAATATAAATATTGAACTAATCTGTGATAATAAGTTCACCTGAACATACAAAAAAGACGACAATAATACACTATAAAGATCGACAAAGAATCAATCAAGATCGTTAGTTAGCGAGTAAGATCAAGCAAAGTGAGTTATAATTGGTTCAACAGTACAAATCTACGAAAGAAATGAATAAGTGTAGTGCAATTTTTCTTTGCGTTCTCATAACACTAAACGTAGTAAGTTTTTAAACCAATAATTCAACTGCAAATCAAAGAAGCATAAAACTAATCAAGCTAAATAATAACATTCAGGTCACAATCGAAATCAAAGCAAACATACTGAAAATGATTAGGAATCAAGTTGCTCTGAAGATCGGCCAGCTGATGCGAAAACTTTTTCCTATCGAAAAACCACAAGAAATAACAACACCAAAGTCCATACCCGATATACTGGAGGATATTAAAAAGATACTTCAGGAAACAACAACAAAAAAACAAGAAGACAAGTCGACAAATGAAGCAGAAATCAATAAACAATCAACAGACACTACTGAAGTCACAAGCAAAACTCCTACAGAAGAATTTACCACTGAGGAAATAAGCACAACAGAAGCTACCGAGTTAACTGAAAACACAAGTGAAACTTTTGCAGAAGAATCGACCACTGAGGAAGGAAGCACTACAGAATCAACAGAATCTACTGAAGTCACAAGTGAAACTCCTGCAGAAGAATCGACCACTGAGGAAGGAAGCACTATAAAATCAACAGAATCTACTGAAGTCACAAGTGAAACTCCTGCAGAAGAATCGACCGCTGAGGAAGGAAGCACTATAGAATCAACAGAATCTACTGAAGTCACAAGTGAAACTCCTGCAGAAGAATCGACCACTGAAGAAGGAAGTACTACAGAGTCAACAGAATCTACTGAAGTCACAAGTGAAACTCCTGCAGAAGAATCGACCACTGAAGAAGGAAGCAGTACAGAATCAACAGAATCTACTGAAGTCACAAGTGAAACTCCTGCAGAAGAATCAACCACTGAAGAAGGAAGTACTACAGAGTCAACAGAATCTACTGAAGTCACAAGTGAAACTCCTGCAGAAGAATCGACCACTGAGGAAGGTAGCACTACAGAGTCAACAGAATCTACTGAAGTCACAAGTGAAACTCCTGCAGAAGAATCGACCGCTGAGGAAGGAAGCACTATAGAATCAACAGAATCTACTGAAGTCACAAGTGAAACTCCTGCAGAAGAATCGACCGCTGAGGAAGGAAGTACTACAGAGTCAACAGAATCTACTGAAGTCACAAGTGAAACTCCTCCAGAAGAATCGACCACTGACGAAGGAAGCACTACAGAATCAACAGAATCTACTGAAGTCACAAGTGAAACTCCTGCAGAAGAATCGACCACTGAAGAAGGAAGCACTATAGAATCAACAGAATCTACTGAAGTCACAAGTGAAACTCCTGCAGAAGAATCGACCACTGAAGAAGGAAGTACTACAGAGTCAACAGAATCTACTGAAGTCACAAGTGAAACTCCTGCAGAAGAATCGACCACTGAGGAAGGAAGCACTACAGAATCAACAGAATCTACTGAAGTCACAAGTGAAACTCCTGCAGAAGAATCGACCACTGAAGAAGGAAGTACTGCAGAGTCAACAGAATCTACTGAAGTCACAAGTGAAACTCCTGTAGAAGAATCGACCACTGAGGAAGGAAGCACTACAGAATCAACAGAATCTACTGAAGTCACAAGTGAAACTCCTGCAGAAGAATCGACCACTGAGGAAGGAAGCACTATAAAATCAACAGAATCTACTGAAGTCACAAGTGAAACTCCTGCAGAAGAATCGACCGCTGAGGAAGGAAGCACTATAGAATCAACAGAATCTACTGAAGTCACAAGTGAAACTCCTGCAGAAGAATCGACCACTGAGGAAGGAAGCACTACAGAATCAACAGAATCTACTGAAGTCACAAGTGAAACTCCTGCAGAAGAATCGACCACTGAAGAAGGAAGTACTGCAGAGTCAACAGAATCTACTGAAGTCACAAGTGAAACTCCTGTAGAAGAATCGACCACTGAGGAAGGAAGCACTACAGAATCAACAGAATCTACTGAAGTCACAAGTGAAACTCCTGCAGAAGAATCGACCACTGAAGAAGGAAGCACTATAAAATCAACAGAATCTACTGAAGTCACAAGTGAAACTCCTGCAGAAGAATCGACCACTGAGGAAGGAAGCACTACAGAATCAACAGAATCTACTGAAGTCACAAGTGAAACTCCTGCAGAAGAATCGACCACTGAAGAAGGAAGTACTGCAGAGTCAACAGAATCTACTGAAGTCACAAGTGAAACTCCTGTAGAAGAATCGACCACTGAGGAAGGAAGCACTACAGAATCAACAGAATCTACTGAAGTCACAAGTGAAACTCCTGCAGAAGAATCGACCACTGAGGAAGGAAGCACTATAAAATCAACAGAATCTACTGAAGTCACAAGTGAAACTCCTGCAGAAGAATCGACCGCTGAGGAAGGAAGCACTATAGAATCAACAGAATCTACTGAAGTCACAAGTGAAACTCCTGCAGAAGAATCGACCACTGAAGAAGGAAGTACTACAGAGTCAACAGAATCTACTGAAGTCACAAGTGAAACTCCTGCAGAAGAATCGACCACTGAAGAAGGAAGCAGTACAGAATCAACAGAATCTACTGAAGTCACAAGTGAAACTCCTGCAGAAGAATCAACCACTGAAGAAGGAAGTACTACAGAGTCAACAGAATCTACTGAAGTCACAAGTGAAACTCCTGCAGAAGAATCGACCACTGAGGAAGGTAGCACTACAGAGTCAACAGAATCTACTGAAGTCACAAGTGAAACTCCTGCCGAAGAATCGACCGCTGAGGAAGGAAGCACTATAGAATCAACAGAATCTACTGAAGTCACAAGTGAAACTCCTGCAGAAGAATCGACCGCTGAGGAAGGAAGTACTACAGAGTCAACAGAATCTACTGAAGTCACAAGTGAAACTCCTCCAGAAGAATCGACCACTGACGAAGGAAGCACTACAGAATCAACAGAATCTACTGAAGTCACAAGTGAAACTCCTGCAGAAGAATCGACCACTGAAGAAGGAAGTACTACAGAATCAACAGAATCTACTGAAGTCACAAGTGAAACTCCTGCAGAAGAATCAACCACTGAAGAAGGAAGTACTACAGAGTCAACAGAATCTACTGAAGTCACAAGTGAAACTCCTGCAGAAGAATCGACCACTGAGGAAGGTAGCACTACAGAGTCAACAGAATCTACTGAAGTCACAAGTGAAACTCCTGCAGAAGAATCGACCACTGAGGAAGGAAGCACTACAAAATCAACAGAATCTACTGAAGCCACAAGTGAAACTCCTGCAGAAGAATCGACCACTGAGGAAGGAAGCACTATAGAATCAACAGAATCTACTGAAGTCACAAGTGAAACTCCTGCAGAAGAATCGACCACTGAAGAAGGAAGCACTACAGAGTCAACAGAATCTACTGAAGTCACAAGTGAAACTCCTGCAGAAGAATCGACCACTGAAGAAGGAAGCAGTACAGAATCAACAGAATCTACTGAAGTCACAAGTGAAACTCCTGCAGAAGAATCAACCACTGAAGAAGGAAGTACTACAGAGTCAACAGAATCTACTGAAGTCACAAGTGAAACTCCTGCAGAAGAATCGACCACTGAGGAAGGTAGCACTACAGGGTCAACAGAATCTACTGAAGTCACAAGTGAAACTCCTGCAGAAGAATCGACCACTGAGGAAGGAAGCACTACAGAATCAACAGAATCTACTGAAGTCACAAGTGAAACTCCTGCAGAAGAATCGACCACTGAGGAAGGTAGCACTACAGAGTCAACAGAATCTACTGAAGTCACAAGTGAAACTCCTGCAGAAGAATCGACCATTGAGGAAGGAAGCACTACAGAATCAACAGAATCTACTGAAGTCACAAGTGAAACTCCTGCAGAAGAATCGACCGCTGAGGAAGGAAGCACTATAGAATCAACAGAATCTACTGAAGTCACAAGTGAAACTCCTGCAGAAGAATCGACCACTGAAGAAGGAAGCACTACAGAGTCAACAGAATCTACTGAAGTCACAAGTGAAACTCCTGCAGAAGAATCGACCACTGAAGAAGGAAGCAGTACAGAATCAACAGAATCTACTGAAGTCACAAGTGAAACTCCTGCAGAAGAATCAACCACTGAAGAAGGAAGTACTACAGAGTCAACAGAATCTACTGAAGTCACAAGTGAAACTCCTGCAGAAGAATCGACCACTGAGGAAGGTAGCACTACAGAGTCAACAGAATCTACTGAAGTCACAAGTGAAACTCCTGCAGAAGAATCGACCGCTGAGGAAGGAAGCACTATAGAATCAACAGAATCTACTGAAGTCACAAGTGAAACTCCTGCAGAAGAATCGACCACTGAAGAAGGAAGCACTACAGAGTCAACAGAATCTACTGAAGTCACAAGTGAAACTCCTGCAGACGAATCGACCACTGAAGAAGGAAGTACTACAGAGTCAACAGAATCTACTGAAGTCACAAGTGAAACTCCTGCAGAAGAATCGACCACTGAGGAAGGAAGCACTACAGAATCAACAAAATCTACTGAAGTCACAAGTGAAACTCCTGCAGAAGAATCGACCGCTGGGGAAGGAAGCACTATAGAATCAACAGAATCTACTGAAGTCACAAGTGAAACTCCTGCAGAAGAATCGACCACTGAAGAAGGAAGCAGTACAGAGTCAACAGAATCTACTGAAGTCACAAGTGAAACTCCTGCAGAAGAATCGACCACTGAAGAAGGAAGTACTACAGAATCAACAGAATCTACTGAAGTCACAAGTGAAACTCCTGCAGAAGAATCAACCACTGAAGAAGGAAGTACTACAGAGTCAACAGAATCTACTGAAGTCACAAGTGAAACTCCTGCAGAAGAATCGACCACTGAGGAAGGTAGCACTACAGAGTCAACAGAATCTACTGAAGTCACAAGTGAAACTCCTGCAGAAGAATCGACCGCTGAAGAAGGAAGCACTATAGAATCAACAGAATCTACTGAAGTCACAAGTGAAACTCCTGCAGAAGAATCGACCACTGAGGAAGGAAACACCACAAAGTCAACAGAATCTACTGAAGTCACAAGTGAAACTCCTGCAGAAGAATCGACCACTGAAGAAGGAAGCACTATAGAATCAACAGAATCTACTGAAGTCACAAGTGAAACTCCTGCAGAAGAATCGACCACTGAAGAAGGAAATATTACAGAGTCAACAGAATCTACTGAAGTCACAAGTGAAACTCCTTCAGAAGAATCGACCACTGAAGAAGGAAGCACTATAGAATCAACAGAATCTACTGAAGTCACAAGTGAAACTCCTGCAGAAGAATCGACCACTGAAGAAGGAAATATTACAGAGTCAACAGAATCTACTGAAGTCACAAGTGAAACTCCTGCAGAAGAATCGACCACTGAAGAAGGAAGCAGTACAGAGTCAACAGAATCTACTGAAGTCACAAGTGAAACTCCTGCAGAAGAATCGACCACTGAAGAAGGAAGTACTACAGAATCAACAGAATCTACTGAAGTCACAAGTGAAACTCCTGCAGAAGAATCAACCACTGAAGAAGGAAGTACTACAGAGTCAACAGAATCTACTGAAGTCACAAGTGAAACTCCTGCAGAAGAATCGACCACTGAGGAAGGTAGCACTACAGAGTCAACAGAATCTACTGAAGTCACAAGTGAAACTCCTGCAGAAGAATCGACCGCTGAAGAAGGAAGCACTATAGAATCAACAGAATCTACTGAAGTCACAAGTGAAACTCCTGCAGAAGAATCGACCACTGAGGAAGGAAACACCACAAAGTCAACAGAATCTACTGAAGTCACAGGTGAAACTCCTGCAGAAGAATCGACCACTGAAGAAGGAAGCACTATAGAATCAACAGAATCTACTGAAGTCACAAGTGTAACTCCTGCAGAAGAATCGACCACTGAAGAAGGAAGTACTACAGAGTCAACAGAATCTACTGAAGTCACAAGTGAAACTCCTGCAGAAGAATCGACCACTGAAGAAGGAAGTACTACAGAGTCAACAGAATCTACTGAAGTCACAAGTGAAACTCCTTCAGAAGAATCGACCACTGAGGAAGGAAGTACTACAGAGTCAACAGAATCTACTGAAGTCACAAGTGAAACTCCTGCAGAAGAATCGACCACTGAGGAAGGAAGCACTATAGAATCAACAGAATCTACTGAAGTCACAAGTGAAACTCCTGCAGAAGAATCGACCACTCAAGAAGGAAGCACTATAGAATCAACAGAATCTACTGAAGTCACAAGTGAAACTCCTGCAGAAGAATCGACCACTGAAGAAGGAAGTACTACAGAGTCAACAGAATCTACTGAAGTCACAAGTGAAACTCCTGCAGAAGAATCGACCACTGAAGAAGGAAGTACTACAGAGTCAACAGAATCTACTGAAGTCACAAGTGAAACTCCTGCAGAAGAATCGACCACTGAGGAAGGAAGCACTACAGAGTCAACAGAATCTACTGAAGTCACAAGTGAAACTCCTCCAGAAGAATCGACCACTGAGGAAGGAAGTACTACAGAGTCAACAGAATCTACTGAAGTAACAAGTGAAACTCCTCCAGAAGAATCGACCACTGAGAAAGGAAGCACTACAGAATCAACAGAATCTACTGAAGTCACAAGTGAAACTCCTGCAGAAGAATCGACCACTGAAGAAGGAAGTACTACAGAGTCAACAGAATCTACTGAAGTCACAAGTGAAACTCCTCCAGAAGAATCGACCACTGAGGAAGGAAGTACTACAGAGTCAACAGAATCTACTGAAGTCACAAGAGAAACTCCTCCAGAAGAATCGACCACTGAGGAAGGAAGCACTACAGAATCAACAGAATCTACTGAAGTCACAAGTGAAACTCCTGCAGAAGAATCGACCACTGAAGAAGGAAGTACTACAGAGTCAACAGAATCTACTGAAGTCACAAGTGAAACTCCTGCAGAAGAATCGACCACTGAGGAAGGTAGCACTACAGAGTCAACAGAATCTACTGAAGTCACAAGTGAAACTCCTGCAGAAGAATCGACCACTGAAGAAGGAAGTACTACAGAGTCAACAGAATCTACTGAAGTCACAAGTGAAACTCCTGCAGAAGAATCGACCACTGAAGAAGGAAGTACTACAGAGTCAACAGAATCTACTGAAGTAACAAGTGAAACTCCTGCAGAAGAATCGACCACTGAAGAAGGAAGCACTACAGAGTCAACAGAATCTACTGAAGTCACAAGTGAAACTCCTGCAGAAGAATCGACCACTGAAGAAGGAAGCAGTACAGAATCAACAGAATCTACTGAAGTCACAAGTGAAACTCCTACAGAAGAATCAACCACTGAAGAAGGAAGTACTACAGAGTCAACAGAATCTACTGAAGTCACAAGTGAAACTCCTGCAGAAGAATCGACCACTGAGGAAGGTAGCACTACAGAGTCAACAGAATCTACTGAAGTTACAAGTGAAACTCCTGCAGAAGAATCGACCACTGAGGAAGGAAGCACTACAGAATCAACAGAATCTACTGAAGTCACAAGTGAAACTCCTGCAGAAGAATCAACCACTGAAGAAGGAAGTACTACAGAGTCAACAGAATCTACTGAAGTCACAAGTGAAACTCCTTCAGAAGAATCGACCACTGAGGAAGGTAGCACTACAGAGTCAACAGAATCTACTGAAGTCACAAGTGAAACTCCTGCAGAAGAATCGACCATTGAGGAAGGAAGCACTACAGAATCAACAGAATCTACTGAAGTCACAAGTGAAACTCCTGCAGAAGAATTGACCGCTGAGGAAGGAAGCACTACAGAATCAACAGAATCTACTGAAGTCACAAGTGAAACTCCTGCAGAAGAATCGACCACTGAAGAAGGAAGCACTACAGAGTCAACAGAATCTACTGAAGTCACAAGTGAAACTCCTGCAGAAGAATCGACCACTGAAGAAGGAAGCAGTACAGAATCAACAGAATCTACTGAAGTCACAAGTGAAACTCCTGCAGAAGAATCAACCACTGAAGAAGGAAGTACTACAGAGTCAACAGAATCTACTGAAGTCACAAGTGAAACTCCTGCAGAAGAATCGACCACTGAGGAAGGAAGCACTACAGAGTCAACAGAATCTACTGAAGTCACAAGTGAAACTCCTGCAGAAGAATCGACCGCTGGGGAAGGAAGCACTATAGAATCAACAGAATCTACTGAAGTCACAAGTGAAACTCCTGCAGAAGAATCGACCACTGAAGAAGGAAGCAGTACAGAGTCAACAGAATCTACTGAAGTCACAAGTGAAACTCCTGCAGAAGAATCGACCACTGAAGAAGGAAGTACTACAGAATCAACAGAATCTACTGAAGTCACAAGTGAAACTCCTGCAGAAGAATCAACCACTGAAGAAGGAAGTACTACAGAGTCAACAGAATCTACTGAAGTCACAAGTGAAACTCCTGCAGAAGAATCGACCACTGAGGAAGGTAGCACTACAGAGTCAACAGAATCTACTGAAGTCACAAGTGAAACTCCTGCAGAAGAATCGACCACTGAAGAAGGAAGCACTATAGAATCAACAGAATCTACTGAAGTCACAAGTGAAACTCCTGCAGAAGAATCGACCACTGAGGAAGGAAACACCACAAAGTCAACAGAATCTACTGAAGTCACAAGTGAAACTCCTGCAGAAGAATCGACCACTGAAGAAGGAAGCACTATAGAATCAACAGAATCTACTGAAGTCACAAGTGAAACTCCTGCAGAAGAATCGACCACTGAAGAAGGAAATATTACAGAGTCAACAGAATCTACTGAAGTCACAAGTGAAACTCCTTCAGAAGAATCGACCACTGAGGAAGGAAGTACTACAGAGTCAACAGAATCTACTGAAGTCACAAGTGAATCTCCTCCAGAAGAATCGACCACTGAGGAAGGAAGCACTACAGAATTCACAGAATCTACTGAAGTCACAAGTGAAACTCCTGCAGAAGAATCGACCACTGAGGAAGGAAGTACTACAGAATCAACAGAATCTACTGAAGTCACAAGTGAAACTCCTCCAGAAGAATCGACCACTGAGGAAGGAAGCACTACAGAATCAACAGAATCTACTGAAGTCACAAGTGAAACTTCTGCAGAAGAATCGACCACTGAAGAAGGAAACACTACAGAATCAACAGAATCTACTGAAGTCACAAGTGAAACTCCTGCAGAAGAATCGACCACTGAAGAAGGAAGCACTATAGAATCAACAGAATCTACTGAAGTCACAAGTGAAACTCCTGCAGAAGAATCGACCACTGAAGAAGGAAGTACTACAGAGTCAACAGAATCTACTGAAGTCACAAGTGAAACTCCTGCAGAAGAATCGACCACTGAGGAAGGAAGCACTACAGAATCAACAGAATCTACTGAAGTCACAAGTGAAACTCCTGCAGAAGAATCGACCACTGAAGAAGGAAGTACTACAGAGTCAACAGAATCTACTGAAGTCACAAGTGAAACTCCTGCAGAAAAATCGACCACTGAGGAAGGTAGCACTACAGAGTCAACAGAATCTACTGAAGTCACAAGTGAAACTCCTGCAGAAGAATCGACCACTGAGGAAGGAAGCACTACAGAATCAAAAGAATCTACTGAAGTCACAAGTGAAACTCCTGCAGAAGAATCGACCACTGAGGAAGGAAGCACTACAGAATCAACAGAATCTACTGAAGTCACAAGTGAAACTCCTGCAGAAGAATCGACCACTGAAGAAGGAAGTACTACAGAATCAACAGAATCTACTGAAGTCACAAGTGAAACTCCTGCAGAAGAATCGACCACTGAGGAAGGAAGCACTACAGAATCAACAGAATCTACTGAAGTCACAAGTGAAACTCCTGCAGAAGAATCGACCACTGAAGAAGGAAGTACTACAGAATCAACAGAATCTACTGAAGTCACAAGTGAAACTCCTGCAGAAGAATCGACCACTGAGGAAGGAAGCACTACAGAATCAACAGAATCTACTGAAGTCACAAGTGAAACTCCTGCAGAAGAATCGACCACTGAAGAAGGAAGTACTACAGAATCAACAGAATCTACTGAAATCACAAGTGAAACTCCTGCAGAAGAATCAACCACTAAGGAAGGAAGCACTACAGAATCAACAGAATCTACTGAAGTCACAAGTGAAACTCCTGCAGAAGAATCGACCACTGAGGATGAAAGCACTACAGAATCAACAGAATCTACTGAAGTCACAAGTGAAGCTCCTGCAGAAGAATCGACCACTGAGGAAGAAAGCACCACAGAATCAATAGAATCTACTGAAGTCACAAGTGAAACTCCTGCAGAAGAATCGACCACTGAAGAAGGAAGTACTACAGAGTCAACAGAATCTACTGAAGTCACAAGTGAAACTCCTGCAGAAGAATCGACCACTGAAGAAGGAAGTACTACAGAGTCAACAGAATCTACTGAAGTCACAAGTGAAACTCCTGCGGAAGAATCGACCACTGAGGAAGGAAGCACTACAGAATCAACAGAATCTACTGAAGTCACAAGTGAAACTCCTGTGGAAGAATCGACCACTGAAGAAGGAAGTACTACAGAGTCAACAGAATCTACTGAAGTCACAAGTGAAACTCCTCCAGAAGAATCGACCACTGAGGAAGGAAGCACTATAGAATCAACAGAATCTACTGAAGTCACAAGTGAAACTCCTGCAGAAGAATCGACCACTGAGGAACGAAGCACTACAGAATCAACAGAATCTACTGAAGTCACAAGTGAAACTCCTGCAGAAGAATCGACCACTGAAGAAGGAAGTACTACAGAGTCAACAGAATCTACTGAAGTCACAAGTGAAACTCCTGCAGAAGAATCGACCACTGAGGAAGGAAGTACTACAGAGTCAACAGAATCTACTGAAGTCACAAGTGAAACTCCTGCAGAAGAATCGACCACTGAGGAAGGAAGCACTACAGAATCAACAGAATCTACTGAAGTCACAAGTGAAACTCCTGCAGAAGAATCGACCACTGAAGAAGGAAGTACTACAGAGTCAACAGAATATACTGAAGTCACAAGTGAAACTCCTGCAGAAGAATCGACCACTGAGGAAGGAAGCACTACAGAATCAACAGAATCTACTGAACTCACAAGTGAAATTCCTGCAGAAGAATCGACCACTGAGGAAGGAAGCAATACAGAATCAACAGAATCTACTGAAGTCACAAGTGAAACTCCTCCAGAAGAATCGACCACTGAGGAAGGAAGCACTACAGAATCAACAGAATCTACTGAAGTCACAAGTGAAACTTCTGCAGAAGAATCGACCACTGAGGAAGGAAGCACTACAGAGTTAACAGAATCTACTGAAGTCACAAGTGAAACTCCTACAGAAGAATCGACCACTGAAGAAGGTAGTACTACAGAGTCAACAGAATCTACTGAAGTCACAAGTGAAACTCCTCCAGAAGAATCGACCACTGAGGAAGGAAGCACTATAGAATCAACAGAATCTACTGAAGTCACAAGTGAAACTCCTGCAGAAGAATCGACCACTGAAGAAGGAAGTACTACAGAGTCAACAGAATCTACTGAAATCACAAGTGAAACTCCTTCAGAAGAATCGACCACTGAGGAAGGAAGTACTACAGAGTCAACAGAACCTACTGAAGTCACAAGTGAAACTTCTGCAGAAGAATCGACCACTGAGGAAGGAAGCACTACAGAATCAACAGAATCTACTGAAGTCACAAGTGAAACTTCTCCAGAAGAATCGACCACTGAGGAAGGAAGCACTACAGAATCAACAGAATCTACTGAAGTCACAAGTGAAACTCCTCCAGAAGAATCGACCACTGAGGAAGGAAGCACTACAGAATCAACAGAATCTACTGAAGTCACAAGTGAAACTCCTGCAGAAGAATCGACCACTGAAGAAGGAAGCACTACAGAGTCAACAGAATCTACTGAAGTCACAAGTGAAACTCCTGCAGAAGAATCGACCACTGAGGAAGGAAGCACTACAGAATTAACAGAATCTACTGAAGTCACAAGTGAAACTCCTGCAGAAGAATCGACCACTGAAGAAGGAAGTACTACAGAGTCAACAGAATCTACTGAAGTCACAAGTGAAACTCCTCCAGAAGAATCGACCACTGAGGAAGGAAGCACTATAGAATCAACAGAATCTACTGAAGTCACAAGTGAAACTCCTGCAGAAGAATCGACCACTGAAGAAGGAAGTACTACAGAGTCAACAGAATCTACTGAAGTCACAAGTAAAACTCCTGCAGAAAAATCGACCACTGAGGAAGGAAACACTACAGAATCAACAGAATCTACTGAAGTCACAAGTGAAACTCCTCCAGAAGAATCGACCACTGAGGAAGGAAGCACTACAGAATCAACAGAATCTACTGAAGTCACAAGTGAAACTCCTGCAGAAGAATCGACCACTGAAGAAGGAAGTACTACAGAGTCAACAGAATCTACTGAAGTCACAAGTGAAACTCCTGCAGAAGAATCGACCACTGAGGAAGGAAGCACTACAGAATCAACAGAATCTACTGAAGTCACAAGTGAAACTCCTCCAGAAGAATCGACCACTGAAGAAGGAAGTACTACAGAGTCAACAGAATCTACTGAAGTCACAAGTGAAACTCCTGCAGAAGAATTGACCACTGAGGAAGGAAGCACTACAGAATCAACAGAATCTACTGAAGTCACAAGTGAAACTCCTGCAGAAGAATCGACCACTGAGGAAGGAAGTACTACAGAGTCAACAGAATCTACTGAAGTCACAAGTGAAACTCCTGCAGAAGAATCGACCACTGAGGAACGAAGCACTACAGAATCAACAGAATCTACTGAAGTCACAAGTGAAACTCCTCCAGAAGAATCGACCACTGAGGAAGGAAGCACTACAGAATCAGCAGAATCTACTGAAGTCACAAGTAAAACTCCTGCAGAAAAATCGACCACTGAGGAAGGAAACACTACAGAATCAACAGAATCTACTGAAGTCACAAGTGAAACTCCTGCAGAAGAATCCACCACTGAGGAAAGAAGCACTACAGAATCAACAGAATCTACTGAAGTCACAAGTGAAACTCCTGCAGAAGAATCGACCACTGAGGAAGGAAGCACTACAGAATCAACAGAATCTACTGAAGTCACAAGTAAAACTCCTGCAGAAAAATCGACCACTGAGGAAGGAAGTACTACAGAATCAACAGAATCTACTGAAGTCACAAGTGAAACTCCTCCAGAAGAATCGACCACTGAGGAAGGAAGCACTACAGAATCAACAGAATCTACTGAAGTCACAAGTGAAACTCCTGCAGAAGAATCGACCACTGAAGAAGGAAGTACTACAGAGTCAACAGAATCTACTGAAGTCACAAGTGAAACTCCTGCAGAAGAATCGACCACTGAGGAAGGAAGCACTACAAAATCAACAGAATCTACTGAAGTCACAAGTGAAACTCCTCCAGAAGAATCGACCACTGAAGAAGGAAGTACTACAGAGTCAACAGAATCTACTGAAGTCACAAGTGAAACTCCTGCAGAAGAATTGACCACTGAGGAAGGAAGCACTACAGAATCAACAGAATCTACTGAAGTCACAAGTGAAACTCCTGCAGAAGAATCGACCACTGAGGAAGCAAGCACTACAGAATCAACAGAATCTACTGAAGTCACAAGTAAAACTCCTGCAGAAAAATCGACCACTGAGGAAGGAAGTACTACAGAATCAACAGAATCTACTGAAGTCACAAGTGAAACTCCTCCAGAAGAATCGACCACTGAGGAAGGAAGCACTACAGAATCAACAGAATCTACTGAAGTCACAAGTGAAACTCCTCCAGAAGAATCGACCACTGAAGAAGGAAGTACTACAGAGTCAACAGAATCTACTGAAGTCACAAGTGAAACTCCTGCAGAAGAATCGACCACTGAGGAACGAAGCACTACAGAATCAACAGAATCTACTGAAGTCACAAGTGAAACTCCTCCAGAAGAATCGACCACTGAGGAAGGAAGCACTACAGAATCAACAGAATCTACTGAAGTCACAAGTGAAACTCCTCCAGAAGAATCGACCACTGAGGAAGGAAGCACAACAGAATCAACAGAATCTACTGAAGTCACAAGTGAAACTCCTGCAGAAGAATCGACCACTGAAGAAGGAAGCACTACAGAGTCAACAGAATCTACTGAAGTCACAAGTGAAACTCCTGCAGAAGAATCGACCACTGAGGAAGGAAGCACTACAGAATTAACAGAATCTACTGAAGTCACAAGTGAAACTCCTGCAGAAGAATCGACCACTGAAGAAGGAAGTACTACAGAGTCAACAGAATCTACTGAAGTCACAAGTGAAACTCCTCCAGAAGAATCTACCACTGAGGAAGGAAGCACTATAGAATCAACAGAATCTACTGAAGTCACAAGTGAAACTCCTGCAGAAGAATCGACCACTGAAGAAGGAAGTACTACAGAGTCAACAGAATCTACTGAAGTCACAAGTGAAACTCCTTCAGAAGAATCGACCACTGAGGAAGGAAGTACTACAGAGTCAACAGAATCTACTGAAGTCACAAGTGAAACTCCTGCAGAAGAATCGACCACTGAAGAAGGAAGCACTACAGAGTCAACAGAATCTACTGAAGTCACAAGTGAAACTCCTGCAGAAGAATCGACCACTGAGGAAGGAAGCACTACAGAATCAACAGAATCTACTGAAGTCACAAGTGAAACTCCTGCAGAAGAATCGACCACTGAAGAAGGAAGTACTACAGAGTCAACAGAATCTACTGAAGTCACAAGTGAAACTCCTTCAGAAGAATCGACCACTGAGGAAGGAAGTACTACAGAGTCAACAGAATCTACTGAAGTCACAAGTGAAACTCCTCCAGAAGAATCGACCACTGAGGAAGGAAGCACTACAGAATCAACAGAATCTACTGAAGTCACAAGTGAAACTCCTGCAGAAGAATCGACCACTGAAGAAGGAAGCACTACAGAATCAACAGAATCTACTGAAGTCACAAGTGAAACTCCTGCAGAAGAATCGACCACTGAGGAAGGAAGCACTACAGAATCAACAGAATCTACTGAAGTCACAAGTGAAACTCCTGCAGAAGAATCGACCACTGAAGAAGGAAGTACTACAGAGTCAACAGAATCTACTGAAGTCACAAGTGAAACTCCTTCAGAAGAATCGACCACTGAAGAAGGAAGTACTACAGAGTCAACAGAATCTACTGAAGTCACAAGTGAAACTCCTCCAGAAGAATCGACCACTGAGGAAGGAAGCACTACAGAATCAACAGAATCTACTGAAGTCACAAGTGAAACTCCTGCAGAAGAATCGACCACTGAAGAAGGAAGTACTACAGAGTCAACAGAATCTACTGAAGTCACAAGTGAAACTCCTGCAGAAGAATCGACCACTGAAGAAGGAAGTACTACAGAGTCAACAGAATCTACTGAAGTCACAAGTGAAACTCCTTCAGAAGAATCGACCACTGAGGAAGGAAGTACTACAGAGTCAACAGAATCTACTGAAGTCACAAGTGAAACTCCTGCAGAAGAATCGACCACTGAGGAAGGAAGCACTACAGAATCAACAGAATCTACTGAAGTCACAAGTGAAACTCCTGCAGAAGAATCGACCACTGAAGAAGGAAGTACTACAGAGTCAACAGAATCTACTGAAGTCACAAGTGAAACTCCTGCAGAAGAATCGACCACTGAAGAAGGAAGTACTACAGAGTCAACCGAATCTACTGAAGTCACAAGTGAAACTCCTGCAGAAGAATCGACCACTGAAGAAGGAAGCACTACAGAGTCAACAGAATCTACTGAAGTCACAAGTGAAACTCCTGCAGAAGAATCGACCACTGAGGAAGCAAGCACTACAGAGTCAACAGAATCTACTGAAGTCACAAGTGAAACTCCTGCAGAAGAATCGACCACTGAGGAAGGAAGCACTACAGAATCAACAGAATCTACTGAAGTCACAAGTGAAACTCCTGCAGAAGAATCGACCACTGAAGAAGGAAGTACTACAGAGTCAACAGAATCTACTGAAGTCACAAGTGAAACTCCTGCAGAAGAATCGACCACTGAAGAAGGAAGTACTACAGAGTCAACAGAATCTACTGAAGTCACAAGTGAAACTCCTCCAGAAGAATCGACCACTGAAGAAGGAAGCACTACAGAATCAACAGAATCTACTGAAGTCACAAGTGAAACTCCTGCAGAAGAATCGACCACTGAAGAAGGAAGTACTACAGAGTCAACAGAATCTACTGAAGTCACAAGTGAAACTCCTGCAGAAGAATCGACCACTGAGGAAGGAAGCACTACAGAATCAACAGAATCTACTGAAGTCACAAGTGAAACTCCTGCAGAAGAATCGACCACTGAAGAAGGAAGTACTACAGAGTTAACAGAATCTACTGAAGTCACAAGTGAAACTCCTCCAGAAGAATTGACCACTGAGGAAGAAAGCACTACAGAATCAACAGAATCTACTGAAGTCACAAGTGAAACTCCTGCAGAAGAATCGACCACTGAAGAAGGAAGTACTACAGAGTCAACAGAATCTACTGAAGTCACAAGTGAAACTCCTGCAGAAGAATCGACCACTGAAGAAGGAAGTACTACAGAGTCAACAGAATCTACTGAAGTCACAAGTGAAACTTCTGCAGAAGAATCGACCACTGAGGAAGGAAGCACTACAGAATCAACAGAATCTACTGAAGTTACAAGTGAAACTCCTGCAGAAGAATCGACCACTGAGGAAGGAAGCACTATAGAATCAACAGAATCTACTGAAGTCACAAGTGAAACTCCTCCAGAAGAATCAACCACTGAGGAAGGAAGCACTACAGAATCAACACAATCTACTGAAGTCACAAGTGAAACTCCTGCAGAAGAATCGACCACTGAAGAAGGAAGCACTACAGAGTCAACAGAATCTACTGCAGTCACAAGTGAAACTCCTGCAGAAGAATCGACCACTGAGGAAGGAAGCACTACAGAATCAACAGAATCTACTGAAGTCACAAGTGAAACTCCTCCAGAAGAATCGACCACTGAAAAAGGAAGCTCGACAGAATTTATTGAAACTACAACGATCGACACGAGCGATATGATTCCAGAATGCGCTGAGTACATGTTACCTCCTCCGAGACCCCAACACCTCTTTAATGAACTTAAGCCTCATTTAGGAAAGCCTTCCCTATCTGTTCAGAGAAAACAAATTCCAGCTGTGAAAGCTACAGTGAAAACCATTAGTCGGATTTCCGTCAAGTCATCGGACTACAAAGGTGCAGTTCGAACAGTGTTGAAAAAATTCGAGACAGATTTCCATTCAACAATCGCGACAGCACGTGCCTTTTTGAACGCTACCAGAGTAAAATTACTGTTCGATTTGAAAGATGATATCCAAAGCGAATATGACCGTTCATCGAAGATGATGACAGACACCTTCATTGCCACCGGAGTTTGCAAGAAGAAAAATATTGCCTGCTGGAACCGTGCCAGGGCAGCCTTGCCGAAGTTTGAGGATGGTCTTAATCATGACGCTAAGGTTTGTGACGATATCTTCGGAACGCAGCTTGCCGCTCATCGTGACGAAAGCGTCAAGATACAAACCATACAGCGGATCATTAACGAACTGGAGGAACTGAAGAGCAGATGCTTGGAACATTCGAATGGGAACTCGTTTACTCGGATCTGTCTGGGCAAGACGGTGAGTTGTCCAAATGCTGAGGAATGTATAGTTAAATAACCGTTTTTTGTTCCACAGCTTACCAGATCGCTGCTGAGGAGTGTTGCTTACTTTAGAAGCTTGCAAAACGCGATAGAGCAGGAGATAAATTTGAGAAAGTATAGCAACAACTTGACGAGTCAGTGCTACGCCAATGCGTACCAGTCGAGGAAACCACTATTTGAGCATGGAGTCAAACGGCTGCAGAACTGTATTAAGAATTTAGCAGAAGAGAAAGAGTCAAATGAAGTGGAATTGGATTGAACGTCACTTTTCACGTCTATTTAAGGACAAGATTCATGGAAGCCATAAATGGCCGCTAACACGACTGATTTTACAAGGCTATTTGTGGATTCTATCAACCTTAACACATTAAAAAATCATGGATATGGCTCTTGCATTGAACCTGGTCAAATGTTTGCAATTTTTATGCGAAGGAAAAAGTGATACGAAAGAGCTAATTCTTTTAATATTAAACTTGAAATTATTCAAAAAATCGCCTTCGTAAAAAATTTAAGACTCATTGTAGTAGCTCAGCGCTTTATTGAACAAAAATTATGTAATCGTATTTATCACAAAAATCAGAATTACATGGCTAAGTAACAAATAAGGATATATGGTGTTACATGTTAACATGTATATTTTAATTGTTGGTTGAATAGCTCAAAATTTATAGATACCATTTCATAAATTTCCTGAACGGATCATTTTAAAATACTATTAATATTCTATTGTGTGCCATTATGCGTTCTTAAAACTATTAGAGGTTATAGTTTCAAAGTTGATTTACAAATTCGTTTTATCCCTATTTGTGTACAAACCTCCACAGAGAAATTATAAAATACTTATGGTTATGACAGATAGAGGAAACAACTCTAGGACCGCGCGTAAGCATCCCAAATGTGGAAAACAAATATTCATGGATACAAATTGAAACGCTACCAAACTGCCAAACTGATCATATTTTAAATTGACATGTAACATCTGGTCTTCCTACGACGACCTTTGGCATCAGATTTCAGTGATTTGATTTTGGAAATTTTTGAAAGTGAGGGTGGATGCCGTAAAAATATTAAGAAACAGCTTGTTCCACAATACTGCAATTGGTTCGAATATGACTCAGGTTGCATTTATGTTTCTGCTTTCCTTTTTTGTGGTCAACCCCTCTTTTCTCTACCCGAACTGACTCTGTACGAGCCTATCCCAAAGATTCTTAATTAACAGACTGGTCAGCCCAACCGACGCCTTTCTTGGTGGCAACGCATCAAAAATGCGAAGGTACACAAACACATGCAAATATCTACAGTGCGTGCGTTTGTTTTACACTATGATTCAATATGCAGACGCAAAGCTCACGAGTGGCGCTGATGGTTGTCGCTGTTCAAGAAGTGAGAGGGTCGGTTGTCACCCAAGTACGTAAACACAAACAATGTGAAGGGGAACAAAATGCTCGAAAAAGGTTGCGGAAACTTGTGCCATAAAAAGCGAAATAAATATAAACAACGTGTTAATATAATTATTTGCCATCAAATACGAGATTATAATCTCGGGTTGAAATGAACCGAGGGGTCGATTGGGTTTAATTTATGGAAGCACTGTTCGCTAATGAATTGAGTTGTGCTGGGGATCAACGACGATGGTTGAATGTAGATATTTTGAAATGAATTTCAGAACGGTAACCGGATGTCGAAACTGGGATCTCACTTTTGCAAATCATTCGAGAATCATTATCGTGTTGAACTGAACCGAGGGCTAAAGAATGATTAATCATACACGCAACCATGAACGCATCGGTTAACCAGTTCTACCGATCCTTAATCCCAGTGTCATCAATTCATCTCATCAAGGCATATTTCTTCCACCGACTTGAACAGACATCGTCGCCTTCGAAGAAGAAGGTGTCAGTAGGAAAATTTATCGATTCTAATTAACATCAACACGTCCAGTGACTTGGACAAAATCCTACACTGGGAATCAATTTATCAGACCGTTAACGCGTCTCGAAGCCAGCATATAGCAGCATAATCAGCAGCAAATCAGTCCGATATGGTCACATGAAACCCACATATACATTTCGAGTGTGTTGGGGTGTTGAAACTCCTAAGCTCTCTAATGAAGCATCGCCCTCATCGTCCAAACACTTGCTGGACGCGGAGTGACCAATTTATGCAGGAATGGTCGTTAATTAGGCAATTAACGCTTCTCACTGGGAACCAAAAAAATAACAAACGTGGGATTTCACTAGAACTATCGGTTTAGTCCGATGTGAAATATGGCTGTGGGTAGGATTTCACGCTGAATGTGGGTGGAAAGTTGACGGCATATTTTCAAGGTGACAGTCGTGGCTGTCTGAAATATAAGATGTCTCAGTTTAGAACATAGTCCAGGAAATGATTCAGTTATCTAATATACAATGCATTATTGAACACCGGAAGTCAGTAACAAAAAGATTAATAAATGTGTGAGATCGTTTGAAGAAAGTTACGATGATTTGTGAACACCCAAACAAGTCAAGTCTAGAAGGCTTAAAAGGCAAGAGACAAGATAATTTAAGGACTTGTAGAAGTTTCTAAGCAATTCTATCAATTGTAAATTTACAGATCTTATCCTGTCAGTTGACAGTGCTTATCAAGTAAATTAAACAGGAGTGGAAACGGACCCTGAATCAGCGCATTTCTTCCATTTTGCCCGCATTAGCTGGATGTCCTTGACTGTCCCGTCCCTGAAATTGCCCATTATTTTTTGATTGGTCGATATTCCGGACAATTCGGAGGATTCGTTAGCTTGGGGACAAAATCGATCTTGTTGGCCAACTCCAGAACCACCTTGGAGTAGTGGCAGCTGGCCAAATCGGACCAAAGGAGACTTTACCCCTATGCTTGCGGATGAACGATGTAAAACTTTTGACCGGGAAGCTGCTTAAAATCGAGTTTGACGTTGTTTCGATCAAAGGGCAGTCCTTGTGTTTCGTCAAAACACGGTCGTACAAGAGCCTTGCACACTTTTTGGCCACGGAATTCTACTACACTTCATGTGCCGGTTCGGATGTTTACTGGCGTTGTACGACTTGTATCCTTCCCTGGCAAGGATGTTCCGCACCGTTTGAAAGTTGGCGTTGTACCTTCTGGCCATATCTCGGATCGAAAGACCGGGGTTGGCTTTAACGCACTTCAACACCTTGATGCGCAGCTAACGATCCCTGGTTCCAGTTTTTTCGTAGGTCCGCTGATTCCTTTCTACACGCAAGGTTTCCTTGTAGGTTTTGAGTACTCGACAAACTGTTGTTTTCGGCATCTTCAGCATTTCAGCCACCTTGGAACCGGAACACTCCGGATTTTACAGGTGTTTGTGCACAATATTTTTTCTTACATCGAGTTCCATTTGACGTTAATTCTGAACGCGATCGACTACTTTGATCAAAGTTGCACCAGTCAAAGATTGTTGATTCCCAACACTACCCGAGCAAAGTCGGTTAACAAAATGAAAGCAAATCGATAATAAAGTTTGCAGTTCCTATCATAATGAGAACTTATTTTGATTTCAATTGTCGAGACATAAGTCTGATATCATATTGTGCTTTCATTATGCAGTCAAGCCTTTTAAAATGAAAGCAACTTAACTTGAAGTTCTGCTGTTAACGTCTTGTTTAAAAGTTAATTTAAGTTCATCTGTCGTTGAACTAACGATTATTGTTTATTTGTTTTGTTTAACACATTTTAAGTCATTTGAAACTTGCCCGCGGTGAGATTTAAGCTCAAGTCTTTCAGTATGAGAAGCATGGATGCTAACCATTTACACCAGGCCCGTATTCAGTTAAACATTATGAATGCAAAATCAGAAATCAAATTAATTTTATTGAAAGCAGGATTAGTTTTCCGTTTGATTCAACAGTGTAAAATTCTGCTCTCATTTTTGCTGTGTTAACCGTTAAGTCAACCAAAATGAGATCAACTGGAGTATTCAAAATAAGTTACATCATAGCAGCAAAATTTGATTTCAATTTGATCTCAAGCTTTGCTCGGGTAGTGGCGCGCGAGAAGCGTACCTATTTACTTTTAGTCAATCTTTATCTTGGAAGATGTCGGAACATGATCGAGAACTCTTCTTACATCCATGTACCTCAAAAGGACACATTATATGATGGATCAACAATCAAGGCTCTGTACTCTTTACTGTTATTTCAGAAGCTTGATGCTTGCACTCACTTGTTTACTAAGTTCGGAACTCGGTTATCTCCATTCTGACGATACAAAATAATTTGCAAGAGTCCTCGTTTCCCTTTCAAATAGGCCGAGAAGCATGAGTACATTACACCGACTTCAAAAACAGAACTTTAACTAGTCTAAATGCGTGGGTGGATCAAAGTGCTAAAGATCTGGATCAGCTCAAAACTAACTTCTAGTATCTATGCTCCAGCGCAAATGGTGATAAATGTGTCTAGTACAGTGGGTGAGTAACATCAAAGCTATTTCGCAAATTGGCAGTAGCCCACCCGACAAATGGCGTACAAATAGTATATGTTTGTACATAGGGGGAAAAAACCACCAGACCTGGATAGATGGTGTCCGTTTCACCTCGCACGGGACCAACCCGAGCGTAAAAACTGTGTGTGTATGGACTGAGCTGTTGCCGCACCAAGTTCAACGAGAGTTTTGTGCGAGCGAACGGCTTTAAATTACTTTTTGTCGTGTGCCACGAGCCACGAGCGCAGCCATTATACGACCGCCGTTCGCTCTGAAGTGGATGAAGATAGATGAATTATTTAATTAAATCAAAACCGTAAACCACACACATGGTATGGCTGGCAAAAGACAAGACAAAGTGGTTGTCGGGTTTCGCTGTTGCCTGTAATGTATGCGCTTGAGTGGGACCACATTTTTGGCTGCCCCTTGCAGGCACACAGCACAGTTTCCGGCCATTTTTGAGCTCTGCTCGGTCCTTTGGATTTGAATTAAAATTTATCAGAAATCACCAGCTGAGCTATAGAATGAGGCGGGTGGTCATATTGTTTTAATCTTACTCTGCGGTGTACCTCGGTAATTGTTCAGCAGTGTAAAGCTAGCTACCTTGGCCATTGAGCATTTTTGGTAGCACTTAAACTATTCGCGCGTTCGTGATACACGATACCGACGATGGACGCGGACGTGGTGGACGGGTGCAGATCTCATGTCAGCGATAAGATGGATACAAATTGATTTTGTGACTTGATTAGCTTACACGCCTCAATGGAGAACGGTTTGGGCAGTGAAAAGAAGGAAGCGGAGTAGGAGCAGGTACATTCATACCGATACATGTGGTTTGAGTTTTATGGATCGCATTGAATTGTGTCGAATTTTAAATGCGTTCGACTGTCGGGAGAATGCCTTCTACAGAGTGACGGTGTTACTTTCAATTCGACATGACAGAGCGATTTGAAAGTAGTCTACGGGATATAGGAAACGCTATTGGAATTTTTATCGGTT